GAGAGAGAGAGAGAGAGAGAGAGAGAGAGAGAGCTGACTCAGTGTGGTGTGTGTAGGGATTGGGGAGGAAGAGAGTGAAATATGGAAAGAAATATCGATACCCTGAAATACCTGGCGCAGGGCAGTTAATCATAAGGCCGCTCCAAAGAGGAAAGACCGAGGGAGAATGTTGAGGAGGAAGATCTTGAGGAGGCAGAAGACGTGGTGGTGGAAGAGACAGTCAAGGACAAAGAAGGTGCGAGGAAGGAAGAGCGAGAGGAGGAAGTGTGTTAGGTGAAATGCGTTTTTCTCTCTGCTACTTTCCCTCTCTCCTTCTTGCGCGTGTGCAACCGTGTTGAGATCTTTAAAAGAAATGGAGCGATCTTGATAACAGATGGAGCGTTTACGTCCACCGTGTGAAGAAAAAGCAGCACTTCTTAGGTCGGGCATTACGAATTTACGAAAGAAGGGCGGCCGGTCGAGGGAGGAAGGGGGAGGTAGGGAGTAGGACGGAGGGAGGAAGGGGGACGTAGGGAGTAGGACGGAGGGAGGAATGGAAGGAGAAGGTCAGGTGGTGATCGGGCTGAGGAAGGAAGGGGAGGAAGGAGATCGGGGGAAGGAGGAGGTCAGACAGAGATCGGGCGAACGAATGGGGCGGGCGAAGGGGAATGAGGCGGCCAGGCGGACGGAGGCCAGAGGGAGGTTGAAGACAAGGTGCGGAGGAGGTCAGTAGGGAGGGGAAAGGGGGCAGAGAGTAGGGCGGAAGCAGGAGTTCAGGTGGAGATCGAGCAAAGGAAGGAAAGGGAGGAAGGAGATTGGGGGAAGGAGGAATTCAGTGCAAATCGGGTGGAGGAAGGAGGAGGACGGAGGAGATAGAGGGAAGGAGGTCAGGCGGAGATTGGGCGAAGGAAGGGGAGTGAGGTCGCCAGGCGAAGGGAGGGCAGAGGGAGGTTTTAAGAGAAGGTCCAGAGGAGGCCAGGAGAAAAGGGAGGGTCGGCAGGGAGAAGAGACCGGAGGGAGGATAGAAAGCAGAACGTAGTTTAGAGGTTGAGTGACGTATGGAGGAAGGGAAGAGGTAAGGGGGAGACGAGCATGGGAAAAGATGTGAAGAGGAAGAGGAAGTGGAAGGAGGCCGAGAAGAAGGGGAAAGACGGAGGGTGAAGTCGGGGGGAGGGAGAGTAGATGGAAGGAGGAGGGAGGGCAGAGGTTGGGTGGGGTACGGAGCAAGGGAAGAGGTCAGGCGAAGGTGGAGGGGGGAAGGGGG